CACATGTCACTATTATTATCCCAGCCCCTCCTAAGACAGTAGTCCTGGGCCAAGGTCCAGCAAGGCATGGATCCTGCCTTTGGTGAACACTATCCCTGGGATGGAAATGTTCAAAGAAAATTGCCGAATGAGTCTGCCCTCATTCAAAAGGATTTCACTACCTGTGTATCCTCAAGCGCAGGTGCCTGCTTGGGGCTTCCCCATGTCACCATTGACCGAAACAGGCGCCAGAAGACTGAAGACGACAGAAGGCACACGCTACCTACAATCCAGAAGTCTTTTCTTTGAAGTGTGGAGTCCATTCTCTGGGAGCAGCTGTGGAGTCCCTGGATTTATAAGACACCTTCCCTGCCCTGATCTAGCACAGTCACTCTCCAAGTTCCTCGTGCTCCCTGCTCTGTTCTGAGGAGTGGGCATCCTGAAGAGCAATGGGATTTTGTGTGTGTGTGTGTGCAGTCCTACACTGGTGTCTCTGGTTACACGACCAACTAATACTCTACTTCTTTAAAAGGAAACACATGACAGCTTTTTGTGACAGATCAGAGACAGGTGCAAGGACTGAGGGAGATCGCTGGTGATAATTTATACTGACACACATGTGTTTGTCCCCTGGTCAAGGACTAGTAGCTGCATTGTAACTGGTATCAGCTGCCTATTCTGGGCCAATGCCAGCAAGGAAGCTTTCTCTTGCCATTTTGGGACAAGGAGCAAAAACAGGTCAGGGGAGGAGGAGGTGGAAGAATGTAACACCAAAAATTAAAAATCTTCATCCTTAACTATGCTATTTTGAGATCTAATGAACCTGGCTGGCGGTAAAATTTCACATCAGCTGTCAGGAAATGTCAACTGCTATTAAAACAACCAACTCAATCAAAATAGAGACACCCATGCTTTACCCAACCCTCTGTAGTCTTTTGCCCATTCGGCTAGGAAATATTTTTGTTTGGTTCAGTCTTTGAATATCTGTGAGAAGCATTTAAACATCCCAGCTCTTCAGCTTCTGATCCTCCTGTCTCTACCTCCTAAATGCTATGATTACAGGCACGGAGTGGGTCATCACGCCCAGTTATGTGGTGCCACTGCTCCAACTCAGGCTTCGTGGATGCTACGGAAGCATGCACCAATTGTAGTACATACCCAGGTCTGAAACCTGAAACATATTTTATTCATCCATTTGTTCGGTTTCTATTTGTGCATGATCTTTTGAAGGAGTGTTGTGGATGTCCTCATGGGCATGGCCTAGGAGCAAATATAAAATCTAGGCTTTGCATTGAGCATTCCAGAGAGGATGGGAGCATCCCTGACCTGTGCAAAATCTTGCAGGTAAGACAATGGTGCTGGTAAGGGATCGGGTTGGAGATGACCCAGAAGTGATGAATATAGGGTGTTGGTGATGGCACAGATTTAATGTTCAGTGGAGACTGAGGCTGAGCTGAAGAATCAGAGAGCTCCCAGGTGTGGTATAAAGAGAGAAGAGGGGAAATGCCTGGGGGATGGGAGGTTGAGCTGTGCCCTTATTCTTAGGGATGGTGACTGTTACTTCCAATCTATTGCTAACTCCTTGATTGGGGAGAGACCTATGCTACCCTTCAAAGTCTTTAATTTTGAGACATGGAATGGAAAAGGAGAAAATGGAAGCGAACCCATGACTTGCCCCTTTAAGTCATAAACCTTTTTAAATTCACAGTATTGTAACAAAAGGGAAAAGGATATTAGAAAACAGAACCAAATGGAAAATGAAGCAAAATTAAAGAAACAAAGTGAAAATTATAAAACAAATGTTTCAAGAGGCGTGGAATATGAAGTATTTAATAATTCATAAGAAAACCTAGAGGAAGAGAAAAGTAGTTTAAAATAAACTCCGTGAAGGGAAAATAAATGAAATAGAAAATCCTGGTTAAGAGCCGGAAAAGAAAAAAAGTTTCACTGAACTACTTTAACAAATACAGGTTGTTAAATTTATATACAGTTTTTCTGCTCTTGGGACTGAGAGCAGATAAAGTTGCTTTTGGAAACTGTATTCCAAGCTTCCAGAACAAAGCTGTGTCCCCAGAGTGTCTGAAATCCAGTGAAAATTGCCTTTCAGTGCGGCTGGCAAATGTTTCTGCCATTAGCAGACCTAATCTTCTCAGAAAGAGAATGGGAAGGGGGAGAAAAGAGAGCAAAGTGAGAAAGTTGACGGGTCTTTTTAATAGTCCCCGGGGAGAAAAGAGTGGCACAGTAAAGATCTCCTGCAGTCTTGCAGAAGATGGAGACTGCCATGGTAGCCAAGCTGTGTCCACACACCCGAGCTGCGGAGGCGGCCTCTCTACCTGCAAGTTGCTGGCCAGGATGACTCTGCTGCACCCATAGACTGGGCCTTGACCACCATAGAAAGAGCTCTGCGCCTCTGACCCCTGTACCTGTCCATTCTACACAGGGCCAGAGAAGGACAGGGTGCTGACTGCTGACATCCCTGGACCTTCTCCATTTATAAATAAAAAACAGAACAGGACATATGGCACTCCTTGTCACTGGTTTCTACCTTCGACCGTGTCAACTGTAGCATGGAAACAAATAAGACCCTGCTACAAAGTGTTTGTTTACTTCCTCTAGAGTCTCTGCAGACGCACGTTTCCCCCAAACCCCAAATTAGGTTTCTAACTTCTCAGAACAGTTGGTAATTGTAAAAGTAATTGTTCCTAGGCAAGCTTACACTCCAACTCACCATTACCTCACACTTTAAAGGCAGTTAATTAAAATGTTCTAGCACATAACCTTGGCACAGTGGCACATAACTGTAATCTTGGTATCTAGAGGGCAGAGGCAGGAGGATCAGAAATTCAAGGTCATCCTAAGCTACACATGGAGTTCAAGGACTGCCTGGGCAACACAAGGAACCCCCACCCTCTCTCTCAAAAAAAATTCCAAACAACAGCAGCAACAAAATTATATCACAGAATTATGAGAACAAGCGTGCTTGGCAAATATCAAATCATCTAAACTGTCAGTTGATTTCTGTTGTGCAAAGTGATGAAATATGAGTGTTTTTCTGCTTCCTTCAGAAATTCAAGAGGAGAAAATAAATTATGTTTGTGCTATTAATGGTCCTTACAAGGGTGTCTTTCATGTCTCAATTATATTTTGCCTATGACAATTTCTTCTTCTGTATCTAAGTAACTGAGGGGTTGCATGCACCTAGATAGTGCCAGCTATCTGGGAGGCTGTGGTTGGAGGATGACTTGAGCCCAGGAGCTTAGGACTGTGAGTTTCACCGAATCTATACCATACACATCATAAAATAACCTTACACTTGCAAAAGGAAATTCCTTAAGATAAGAAGAAATAAGTAAAGCGGTTCATTTTTATTATGTGTCTGAGGTAGAGGGTATATTCACTGGAATGTTGTGCCAAGGAAGCCAGAGGCGTCTGATCCCCTGGAGTTGGAGTCGGACTATTGTGAGCTATCTCTTGTGGCAGTTGAGAACCAAACATATATTCTTTTCAAAGTCGGTATGTTCTCTTAACCATGGAGCCATCTCTCTAGCCCCTATAAGTTTTACTTTACTTTTAAGTTTTCTTTAATCTTTGTCTGTTGTAAATCAATATGTTTAAGTTTTTCCTATGTACTATGCATGTGTGAGAGAAATAGGGTGTAGCACATGCGCTAGCACACGTGTGTGGGGGTTAGAAGACAGCTTTGTGAAATCGGTTCTTCCATCCACCTTCATGTGGGTTCCTGGGTTCTAACTCAGGCCACCAGGCTTGCATGGTCAGCACCTTTCCCCACTCAACCATCTCTCTAGCCCACGTTATTTGAACACTGTAACTTAGAAATCCCCTGAACCATATATGAGGACATTGTGTGGACACCTAGACACCCATGTCTTGAATATGTATTGTTTTCCCCTCTCTTCTCCCCCCCCACCACACACACAAACACACACCCCAATGTCCATACACATACTAGCTCTTTTTCCTATTTAATAAACCTACCAACTTCGTTTCTCCCTAATCATCTTGAAATTCTTTTCTACAGTATAGTCAAGGATATCCCTTTACTTGAGTGGCGGTCCCCGGCAGGGGGTGGGGGGGGTGGGGTGAGGTCTCCTCAACATTGTGGTGGTAGTGGTAGACCACTCTCCCTTACACCGCTGACACCCACCCCATTCCCATATACACACACCATAAATGCTTACCATGCTTTGGATATATTGACCAACTTACTTTCATAACACCTATCATCTCCCTGATCAGATCAGGTAACTCCATGTTTGAACTTGGTGTTGCTCAGAGCATTTGTTCTGTACAGTGGGCACTGGGTTCCACCATCATGCTAGCAGCAAGGAATGATGTCCCTTCTCTGGACTTTGTTGTCAGTAGCTCCATTTCTTTCTTTTTTTGGTTTTTTTGTTTGTTTGGTTTTGGTTTTACGAGACAGGGTTTCTCTGTATTGTTTTGGAGGCTGTCTGTCCAGCCTGGCCTCGAACTCACAGAGATCTGCCTGCCTCTGCCTCCCGAGTGCTGGGATTAAAGGTGTGCCCCACCACCACCAGGCCAGTAGCTCCATTTCTAACAGAGCTCAGGATCTTTAGGAAATTGGAAGCTGCAGAGAGGTCTCCCGTGGTGCTTCTCCCAGTTTTCAGCCCAAACACATATTTTAAACGACCCTTCTGGAAAGTGTGTGTCCATAGCATATTCCATAAATATGCATGTATATGTATATGTATATATGATTGAGAGGGGTGATGAAACAGAACCCTGGGTCTCTGGTATGATATACACACCCTCTACCACTGAGCTACCCTCCCAGTCCAACAGAAATTTCAAATTTCCTCCACCACTGCAGGTAAAATGTACACCAAAGGCTTCTGAACTACTAACCCAACACACAAGCCTCGAGAAGAGGAGTGAAATGTGTCTGTTCCCCCAGCTTCTTGAGCTCTACACACAAGTGACAACACGGAACTTGAAAGGGGTCAAAAGAGCACCACCCAGGAGGTAAGGGATGACATGATTACCTCATAGTCTCCAGCTTGCAGATCCAGCTCACTAGCATTCTCTTCCAGAAAACACTTCACCTTCTCCACCTCCTCCATGCACTGGAAAAAGGCCACTTTCTCCAGGGGGTTGCTGCTGTGGCAGGAGCTGATCTCCTCAAGCCTCCTCACCTTCAGCATGCTGGTTGTGAGTCTGAGCAGGCTGCTGTCAGGAGTGGGGTTTTCATCTCCTGCCGTCTCAGGTTTGTAAATCAGGACACAGTCGTGACTTTCCAGTACTCTCTTCTCCTGACTGTAAGAAAGGGAACAAGAAAGACAAGTTCAGGTCACTCATTCATCATCAACTTCCAAAATCAGGAGCAACGCTGCTATTCTAATTGAAACTTTCTCCACTGCTGGAACTTTTACAGGAAAATATTTTTATTTTTTACATTTTCCCTCAAAATCAAATAGTAAGAAGCATCCTCCCAGGTGACTACGTACATCCTTCACTGCACCAAACAGTTATGTTTATTGGGCTTATTTCATGTTGGTTATTCAAAGAAAACACAGACCTTTGTACACACAGGAGTGGCTGGAAAAATCCTTTTGTAAAAGAAGTTTATATCCATCTACATTAAAAAGCAATAAATGAACATACAGGTATTACTATCTGATGCATCTCTGCTTTCTAGAACCCAAGAAAGACTGCATTACCTTCAGGAAGATGAGACAGGGAACCTGCCCCCACCCCACAGAGATGACCACAGGTGGCTGTCACCTGAAAGATTTTGTTTGCATCCCCGATATCTGCTCACCCCTCCCTCGACCTTCCACTTGCTTTCACCCCAGAAGTCCAAACTCTTGTCCCTTCAGGCTCTTAATAAAAGACGCTCTGCTGCCCTGCTTTGAGTTTCATACTTCCGTGCAGTGAGCATCTGATTTTTTCTAGATATCTATTCATTATCAGGCTTTTTCTTCACAGACTAAAATTAGCCAAGCTGTGGAAGATGAGGGGCAAATTTAAAATTCTTCTGCCATTTCAAGTGGTGGATTAAAACACGGTGTGAGGACTGGGCTTTTTGACTGGGATTGCAAGACTTGCTTCTCACATTACTGCAAGAACGACTTGTCCAGGAACAGGGGCTTCCCTATGTTCTTCTGGAAATTGTGTCACCTTTTGGGGTGGCGTCTCCACCAGAGCAATTATCTGCTGGCATCCCCCTCTCCCCATCTTTAAATTATTCGGTGCTGGGGACTAAACACAATAACCCACACATGTTATAAAGAACTTCTACCTCTGGGTTACACCCCAAGTCCTTCTGCCTACATCTTAAGACATTTGGTATTGGTTTTTCCAAAGAAGTCCATTTCATATGAAGTGTTGCCCAACACCTTGCATTGCACCTTTGCTAACAGCTTTGCACTGAGCTCAGCTTTGCATGCTTTCTCTGAAATACTCTCCATACAAAATAGGGAATGTACACACTACAAAATAACACTTAATCCTAGACACACACATGCATCTGTGTATTTACACATTACTTCACTATACAGGGAAAGAAAGATTAAGATTTCTATTTTGCTTTCCTGCGGCTAGTCCCTGAGGCCCCCTGCTGGAAATTCTCTGAAATTTGCTTCATTTCCTCTACAATCATTTCTAATTCTGCCAATGAAGCTTCACCTTTCATCTTTACAATTCATAGAGTAAAATAATGTACTAAACTTATAAAGTATTGTAAAGTCAATGCTCTACAAAATCCTATATATTGCCTAAAGAACTTAGGTTCAAAAAATTAAAATGCAAATAACATCAACCAGAACTCTACAGATGCATTGTACACCATTATTAGTACTTTGTAAACTTCTCTGAAAAAATTATTAAAATAAGAAGACAGATACATGTCTATTTAATGATCAACTGTCGCTAAGATAGAATGTTGAATTATAGGCAATACTGAAACTAGATCAGGAAGCCTAAAAATTAACATATTAAAACAGTGGGGGGGGTTAACACATTACCATTCCAAAAAGAAATACTAAGCATTGACTTCCTGAAGTTTGGAACAACTTGTTATTTAGAGCAACACAGAGAGAGAAGAGAGACTGGAGAAGAGCTGGTAACAATAAACAAAAGTGATTACCATCTGTAGGAGGACATCCTGGAGTTTGAACAACTCCACAAGCAGAGGATTCTTTCCGGCAGATAACAGGAATCTGCAGAATTCAAATAGACTGCAGAACTCTCCAGTAAGAGACTTCACTCTCAGTGGGCAGAAGTCTTCTGGAAAGCTACACCAGAGGAAGTAGCTTCTCCAAATGCCACCTTGAGCCCCTGTTTAAACTAATATGCTCCTTGATCTCATGTTGCTCAGCTGTTGCTTCCTTAGTCAGATGGGGGAGTATATTAATTTTAGATGCCAGGCCTTTCGAAGTTGATGGCTCCATTTCAAAGGTCAGGTAGGGAGAGGATGAACTGAGAGCACTGGATGAAATATCACCTTTACCTTCCCCTCTCAGTTCCCTTGTAATTACAGGGCTGGATTTGTGTTTGGTGGTCGCATATGCCTCTCAGGCCTGATTGCAGTTACCAGAATGCAAGGTATGGGAGCCCAGCACATTTGTTTTGATGATTATGAAGAGATCCAAGTGTAGTATGGTGCCTTCTGAATGCATTTAACAAGCATTGTTTAATTTAATAAATCCTTATTGTATTTAAAATGTCTCCAACTCTCCCCAGTTTAGGGGAAAAGGTCAAAGGCATGCATATCTAGGTAAGTACAAAGAATAGAGGTGGCTTTCTCACAAATTGTCCTTATGGGTAACAACATGACTCTTCCTGATTCTTGATAAAGAAAACAAATCCCCAGGTCTACTGTTCCTAGATTTATTTACTTGATATAAAACTTACATTGCTGACAAACTGATATTATGGACAGATTTATAATTCTTCATGACCCAGACAATTGAAAACCCTTGTTAAGTCTTTACTACTCCCTTTGTGACCCATTGACACTGCAGCCTCTGGACCGTTGCACTCTCTCTCTCTCTCTCTCTCTCTCTCTCTCTCTCTCTCTCTCTCTCTCTCTCTCTCTCTCTCTCTCTGTCTCCCTTTCTTTCTTTAAATTTAGATCAGTGTCTTCCAGTCAAGACAAAAATGGGTGTTTTCCATTTTACGTGGCATTTGAAGGATCCCAGAAGAATCTTGTTTGAAAATCAGAACTGTTGCTATTTTTCTAGGATTCCCAAATGTAGTTCTTCAGGAAGAAGATACATTGTTCAATAAAGTATCCTCAGAAGGCTGCACTGACTTCAGAGTACCAGCTTTTGTAGGTATGATTAAACTGTACACAAATGCTGGCAAGGCAAATCCTTCTCAGAATAAGGAAGATGCGTGTAGCCACATCCTCCAGTCACACTGTAAAAAGGAAGTTGTGATTCCTATCACCTTGGCTCCTAGCCACAAGCATTAGAGGGCCAGGGTCAGCAGACACACTACTATGTACAAAATCCAATAGTTAAATTTCTTCATTTTTCCCCTAAAACTTTTTTTTGTTCTAGAACCCAATGCATGCTTTCACATTTTGTTTGGAGTCAACAGGATTTGTGATGGATTAGACACAGGGTGCACAGGAAAGACAGTAGATGGGATGAATCACAGATTTCTTCTGTGCACTTGGGGGACAAAGGTGATGTGAAATGAGATGGCCATGGGAGGTGCTAAGGTGGGGAAGTCTGGAGCTCAGTTTTTGACAAGTTCATTTAAACATTCAAGCTCTGTAGACATAGAAATGGAGATCTACGGAAGGGGTAAGATTGGAGATGCAAATTTGCACAGCCATCTACATATTGATATTCCTATATGGAATATGTACTCAGTAAGTATTTTATAGCAGGTTTTCTTTTGGGCCACCACCTCCCCCCACCATGTCACTACCAAGTGTCAGGGGACATCACTAAAAAGGAGGTCTCGTAAGCGCTGGAGGACACAGAGGGGTGCCACAATGTGCTGTCGTTTGGACATCACACGGCTTCACACTTACTAACTCACTGCAGCTATGGTTAACTGCACACGATCAAACCAGTCAAAAGGGAATTCTCTATGCCTCACCTCTAGCTAGCCGTTGATAGCTGCTGGGGGAGGGAAATCATTCTTTCTTTTTTAGATTTATTTATTTATTATACATGCAGTGTTCTGTCCGCATGTATCCCTGTAGGCCAGAAGAGGACACCAGATCTCATTATAGATGGTTGTGAACCATTGTGGGGTTGCTGGGAATTGATCACTAGGAAAAACAGCCAGTGATCTTAACCTCTGAGCCAGTGATCTTAACCTCTCTCCAGTTCTGGGAAAATCATTCTTTCTAGGAGGAAATGAAGTTGGGAAGGGGACATGGAAGAATATGGGAGAGTTGAAGGAGGAAAACGGGGGTGGATATATTTCATTGTATACATATATGAAATTCTCAAGAATACAGAAGCACAGAATTCCTTGATTTTTTTTTCAGGCAACATTTGTGCTACCCAAGGAAGAGATTGAAATTTGAGCCGGTTGTGGTGGCACACGCCGGTAGGATTTGCTGAAGGAAATTGAAATCTGAAAAGGCACATGAACTAGCATCATTGACAGCTCATACTCTGCGTGGCATTCAAAGCGGGCCAGAAATGTTGATTGTTTCTGTTTATACATAGCTTTCTGGATGTCTCCAGAACAACAAGACTTCCACACACAAAAGTGGAGCAATTGTCATGGTTATCAAAATGCAGATGAAAGGTTTCTTCATTGCAGCTGCCTACCTAACAATTACATATTACACTTTTCATAAAGCACCAGAGAATATAACCCTAAAAGCAGAAATTGATAGGTTTCACTGTGTCAAAATTCAAAATACAGCATTAGAAAAAATTAAAAGACTAGGTATGGCCTGGAGAAGAAATTTTGATGGCACAGACTTGATAAAGGGTTTATATCTAGATCATATAACAGGTCATTACAACACACTAATAGGATGACATACACACCAATTTTAAAAGTGGACAAAGGATTTGAATAGACAAGTGGAAAATAAATATAGAAACACTAAGAATCAGTAATCAGGGAGATGAAAAATCAAATCACAAAAAAATAGCATTTGCATCCACCAAGAAAGTGTTAATTTTAAAGAGAGAGAGAGAAAACAAGCACGTCGGATGGGAAGAAACAGAGCTCTCACCAGACAGGAGATAGGAATGGAATATGACACAGATGCTTTTGAAAGTGGGGTATCAGTTTAAGTTATTTTTGCAAGTCTAGTACCTCTGGGTACATGGGGAAGAGAAATGAAAGTACAAGAACACGCAACCCTTGCACTAAGCGGTGGAGGGTGCGGTACACACAATAGCCACAATTAGAACCAACCCAAACGTCCATTCGTTAGCTTGGTGAGGAGAAACTGCAAAGTGGTTAGTCCATGCAAATGGACTACTAGTCAGAAACAAAACATGCATGTCTGCTGTAACACAATTGGACTAAACATGGTGATAGATGAAAAGAAAAAAGCCAGAGACAAAGGCCACATACTATAGGATCCTTTAAAAAAAAAAAACCAGTCTGTAGGAATTAGCTGTACCTGGGATCTTACTGGATGGTGCATGATGTTACCTAATGCTTACACAACTATGTCTTAAAATACTGTTGAGTTGTGTGCTTGAGTTTTATGACCTGCAAAGTATACTTTACTAATGTCACAAAGAAAAGAGAAAACCCAGTTTTAATATGACTCATAAAAAGTAATCTTGTGAAAAGCAGTGGGAGCGGGGAATGCTACTGGGCAGTTTGGAGCTGGTTGTTCCAAGTGACCAAGGCTGGGATCCAGGGAGGCAGCACTGGGTCACCTGGGGCTGAGGAAAAGAAAAGGAAAGAAAAAGGATGAGTGGGAGAGAGTTAGAGTCCCATATTTTTCCTCTAGTACAAATGCTGTGTAACAGACATTTTGGAATTAATAAAAAGTGCGTGCTATATGAAGTTAGCTTCTAGCACTTATTATCTCCTTGTAGATGGGATACTTTCAGCCAAGAGGGTAATGATGTTACCAAGTGTCCAGACTTGTTTACAGTCCATTTGATATTAGACCTTTAAATTTTCCAAGTGACAGTGAGTAAGTAGCTAAATATTTTGTAATGAAAACCAAAGAGTCTAAAACTCCCAGGCAGGCTGTGGGCATACTTCAGTGGTGGAGTTCTTGCTAGCATATATGAGGCCCTGCCACAGAAGCAAAACAACAAACTCATATTTCTTAGGCATGGAATAAATTTCCTGTGTTTCTTTTACTGTTTAAAACATGAAAACAAAAGAGGTGTTACAAAACTATATAAAATGTAAATAAGATCATGCAAAATAAATTTATTTTAAACAGACTAAAAACTGTTTTAGTGAATTATTCCTATAACGGTTGGACTAGCTGTTTGTTTAATTGTATTCCATTTTAATCATTGTAGAATTAAAAATCTATCACTGCATTGATGTGTTGTTTAGAAAACAGTACATGATATTTCATTAGAAACAAAGTACATCATGCAATATTGTTCATAAATAAATTAGAGAATAAGTTCCCAGAGCTTTATATGACTTCTATACCATTTTGTTATGTACCTTTGTTTTTTAACCAAAAAAAAAAAAGCCTAGAGGCTAAGGCTCAGTAGGAAAGTGTTTACCTAGCATGCATGAGGCTCTAGGTCTGGCCCCCATCACATTAAGAATGGATAAATTTAGGACATTTTAAAGTTTGAACCTGCAGAGGCATCACAAGAAGAGTACAGTAAGTGGCCATATACTATTTCTCACATAACAGGATCATTAAATAACCCATAGTGTGTTCTCTGTAAAGTCTTTTTTTAAATCCCCTTTTCTCTATTTAGGAAGCAGCCACCATATTATTTTTCCTTCTATTCTACATGAGATTATTAGTTTTGAAAACTACAGACAAATATAGCTTCACAAATTATCAAAGTTTGAATTGCCTGATTGTGTCTTCATGGAATCAAGTTAGATTTGTGACAAGAAAGTGAAAGAAATATTATATTTTTCTCAGGATATCCCAACAGGTGGCACACAATGTCAACCTGTGCCATCATTAATTAGTAACGGTAAACTTGATGATCTGATTATGGTGGTATCCACCAGATTTAATTAATGCAAAGTTATCTTTCTAAGCGATATGTATATTATAGAACTCTGTGAGTGTCCTGTGTCCCAGCAATTCACTGCCTAGGTCTTTAGCATCTACTCTTGAGTGCATGGATTACAATGGTGATTACGTAATAGTGATTTTTCTGAGCCTA